TGTGCTAGAAAAAAAAGCATATTATGCTTTTAGCAGTGCTCATATCTTTTAGAAATTATGGAAAAGTTATGCTACTTTCTGAAAATTATGCTCTCTGTCACCGAAATTATGCTACTTACATTTTACACTGATTTTGAGGAAAATAAAGATCATCAGTGGCTTAACTCTATCAATTTTGACTTTAATGAATATTCACATAGTCCACCTTCCAGTCTTACAGTCTCTAGCATCGCAAATACGCATGTGCGCACCTCGAACAGCCAAATGATTAACAAATGATACAAATAGTACGTTCTCTAGAGATTAAAGCTCTCGGTACGGCACTGGAAGTGCTTGAAGTGGTGGAAGTGGATGTACTCGAAGTCGACGCCATCTTTGATCTGAGGCCTGAGGGGCCGAGCCGCCGAGCCATAAGCGTGCTGGCCTGAGTCTCAGTCTCATGCACAGGGTGATCTCTGCCGCCTACCGGACCATATTTGACCATGGGCCTTAGCACAGACCTCAATATTTTCCAAACACAATACAAAAATAAAATACAAACTGAATTATTCTAGAGCTATGATGTTTTTTTTTGTTTGTTTTCAACGCATAAAAGCTTGGATTATGCCAGCAGTGCTAAACTGAAATAAAAGCTGAAAATAATGCTCATTTTGCTGAATTATGCTTAAAATTATGCCAGCACAATCTACCAAAGCCAAGCACGGCTTGTTGACATCACACCTGTTACACCTAGTAGCCTATAAGAATTAATGAAAAAATTAATGAATAGATAATAAAATTATCATCGCTCCTTAATTTTGCTAAGATAGGAAATATTTAAGGCAAATTAAAAAAAAACATATTGCTTTAACGTCACATTGGGCTGGGCTATACCTTCCTTTATCAAACGTGATGAAAACTGATTGCGAAATAGCTTGGATTAAAAATAGGTTCGAGAATTACGTAGTTTGATTTTAATTTGAATTGAGCGGGGGTGAGGGTAGTGTTAAAATAAAATAGACAATACGATTCTTTTTTTAACTTGGTTATCTTTTTACTTTAAGTCTCTCCCCAGATCATTGCTCCTCTGACAGACCAATCTGTTACCGAAGGATATCCTGTCAACTTTAGTTGCGTAGCCTCAGGTGTTCCAATACCAACAATTGTCTGGGATTTTAACAATGGTGACCTGCCATCTGGTGTCAATCAGACTGATCAGGAAGGAGAGTCAGTCCTGGAATTGCCACGTGTCACAAAAGAGATGGAAGGGACTTACAATTGTAAAGCTAAAAACAAAGAAAATACAGCTAGTTCCTCTGCAGCGCTGCGTGTTTATGGTAAGTTTAACAAAAAAAATAGAATTTTATTAATTAGCATGAAGATGAATATGAAGATGAAGATGTTAGGGATGAATGTGGAGATAAAGATAAAGATAAAAGTGGAGAAAAAGGAGGGAAACAGGAGCTCAAGGGTTGTGCATTTAGACTGCTTCCAGACTATACATAACTTGAATTCTGAACCGATTTGTACAGACAAAGAGACTAAAAGATGGAATAGGTATAATTCTTCTTAAAGTTTCATTATCATCGAAGAGAATCTTCTTACATTTGAGTAAGCTGAGGAGTCTATACGGACGAAATCAATCCTTAGTAACAATTTTCTTGAGCCTATTACATTACATAGGGATAAGATTTGTTACAAATTACTCGAAGGAATCCGCTATTTGAGTCAACTGAGTATATCTGGAAAGATTAATAAAGCAAGGAAAAGCTATATAAGTAATGGCGATATCGTCTTTTGATTAATGCGAAATACTACAAAATATATATGTTTCGTACATCTTAGCTGCAACATTTTAACGAATATATTTCTGCTACGGAGAGATCCAGGAAGTTCAAAGTAGAGCAGGAGGATTTCAAAAGAAAAGCGAGAATCAAAAGCCATTTTTGAGTGTGATTCAATAATTACTCATCTTGACAATGAACAAGGTAATGGAACACAAAAATCTGCTCCATTCCTGAACGAAATATGCGGTGAAATGCCGATGAAATGTTCGAAATAAATCCTTTGGATATTTACCTCTCTTGCATCTATCCACAGAGTTAATTTTCGGAACTTTTTAACTTGTAATGAGACTAGGTCAATTGAAATGTTCTGAAAACATTATTTAAAGGCTACATCTGGATCGATTTGTTTCCATATTATTGTTTATTTGTTTGTGAATTAGCTTGTTTTTGTGTGGATACTGCAGCTGTAATTTCAAAGTGTCATTTTGATTTTAATCGATTTTCTCTCTCCTAATGTAGAAAAAGCCTCTGCTCAAGTTATTCCAGAAACAGATTTAACACTCACAACGGGAGAAGTCCTCACATTGACCTGCTTGGTCAACGAGGAAACCGTCAAGATAACTTGGAAAAAAGATGGAGAATCATTAAAAGAACGAGCAGTTGTAGATACCCGATCAAATAAGACAAAGAGGAAACTTGTTATTACTGAGGTTGTGGAAGAGGACAGTGGTGAATATTCTTGTGAAGCAAGTAACAAGCTCGGAACTGTGGCTCACTCCTCTGTGATATTGGATGTAAAAGGTAAGCTGGTGTGCCTGTATGACCATTGCTGTAAACTAGAACCTTGAACTTTTATGTTCCTAAGCTTTTCCATTGTTGTTTTTTCATCGTCTTGAAACTAAGATCATTAACTTAAAACAAATTAGATACAGGAGCAGCACCTCATACGTGGAGATAACTAGATGATTTCTTACGATAACGTACATACTCTCACGAGTTCATGTTCAATTTACATTCTCGTGACTGTTTCCTTTTCTGCCGTAAGATTGATGTTACTCTTTAGTGAGTATCATAGCCGATCAGATTGCATCACCTCAACACAAGCAGTAAATAATACGAATGTCAAATAGTCCTTTGTTGAGACAAAACAAAGAGTAATAATTCTGCCCTTCCACTTTTCTACACTAAGAATTGGCGAGACTGGTTGCCTTTGTTAACAAAGTAAATCGCTTTTGTACATGAAATGCAGAAGCCCCTTCCAGCAGCTCACTGGAGTGGTACTACATTGGTGGACCTGTGGCTGCTGTCATTTTCCTCCTGGCTCTCACTGCATATATTAAAAATCGCCGTGCGACAGGTAAAAGAAACTTTTACGAGGCGCCATAGGTTAACTAAGCAAAATTTTTTGATATGGCAAATTGTGGCTTTTTACGTGTCAGTGTTTAGGATTATAGGAGAGCTATTTTTAGCAGGTCACATTCTACATTTCCAAAACTGACATCGAAGGCCACTTTTTACTCCCCGGGATCCATTGGTCAATCAAAACACAAAAATGTTACAAATTATATCCAGCTAGTCATCTTGGCAACTCACCTTATTCCTTCTTAGTTTTAGTCATAGTCTAATAAGTTGCAAGTGACTTCTGAACCGAGTCGCAAGTTTTGACTGCGTAAATGAAGTCATTCTTGCTCACAACGAAGCCATTTCTTCCATCAATAGCCTTGCAAGAGGTGCCCACCAGGTTGAGGTAGGTTTATTTTCTTTCTTGAATTGTTACTGTTAGAATATATCGCTTTTCACGAAGTTTCCAACTCTTGAAGAAGTCTGAGCAGAGGATTGATAGGCGCCCTTACTGGGAAAACTACGTGGTTTTTCAGATTGAACCTTTTATATTCATCATCATGAATACACAGGCCAAAAAAAGTTTTTCCTTTCGAAGCAGTGACATTTTACGAAGCAGCTCTCATCAACTGGAAGTGAAATGTTCCCTGTTGTTTTTCTGTTTTCGTTTGATCTTTCCTTGACTTGTTTTTACAGCTTGTTCGGTATTTTTTGTTTGTTTGTTTTATTTCTGACCAGCATGCAAGGTGGCATACTTGTTAGGAAGATTAGACGTTTGGGGTCTGCGCCACTCAGAAAATGACAGTTGAAATAAGCAACACTCGGAGTATTGTAGACCCATCTCAAATGCTACTTGATAATTCGATTGTAAGCCTATCCCTATTTGCAGACAACAGTTCGGTTGGTGTTGGTTTGTATTTCATTTCTCACGTATCAGGCAGGCGCGGAAGAAGCATGATATTTAAAAGACGTAAAATGCAAAACAGCACGGCTGCACCAGGTTATCTTCAAATACCACCTACGAGGTTCAAGCAATGCTATTTGAAATTTGGATTTTCGGTTCTGGGATGATGTGTCACTGGTTCAAAAGTTTTTTCAGGGGCAAATCTAGGAATTTTCTGACGCACTCAATATAAATTCTCTCATAGACACTTGCATGGATGCCCTTAAAAAAAATCTTAAAGGAAGATATAGAGGATCTTGTTACTATGTTAATGGAGAACTTCTGGTTTTGTTAAATGACTTTGTTATTCGTCTTGATGCAAATGAATGCAATGAGATAAAAACGCAAGACAATATTAAAGCAACTCTTGTTAAAACTAAAAGAAGAATACAATAAACTAGACAGATATCTAATAACAAATAGGTCAACCTCGTTCCCAATATTCCCAGCTGGGAACGAGGTTGGCTGATAGGTAACAACCATAGCTAAATAAAAGTCGTGTTTTCAAATGCAATTACTCAGTGAAGAGCATGATGAAGTTGAGATGGATCAGCTGAAGGGAAACACTGATGGATGGGAGATTGCAGTTGACCGACTGAACTTTCGCGAGCCTATTGGCAGAGGGGCATTTGGCTCAGTATGGCGAGCGCTACTGGGCCGGTCCCGTGGCAGACCTGGAAATCGTACAGTTGCCGCCAAGTGCTACCTACGTAAGAGCATTTTAAGATCTTTCGTTAATTGAAAGTTTGATTAAACTATCCTCAACAATAAGAGGGCGCGTTGTGTCTAAGTTATGTTGTGAAAGTGTATAACATCGGAAAATGCCACAATAATTACGTCTTACTTTACTTTTATCTCACTTTCAATTACGTGTTGCCCATATGCAGTGGTGGTCGTTGGTCAATATTCTCATGCAAATTCCCCCTAACGTCGAATATTTTGCGATGTTGCCCTCTGAGAGACTTTTGACGGAAAGTTTTGTTATGTGAACTCTAAGAGGCCATGAGAGCGTGTACATGTGGTTTCGGGGAGACAAAAATTGGAATCATATGTCCATACACGACATGTTATAAATGACTTAGCGTGAAAGCGTATCACCTTATTTTGTAAACTAAATTGCGGACCAGTTGTAAGTCGTAAAACAGAGGGAGACCAATAAAAACAAAACCATGAAAAACAACAACAACAAAAACAGAGAAACAAACGATTAAGAAATTAAAGAAAAAAGAAAAACCAAATAGTAAAAGAAAAGATGAAGCACAGTGAACAATTGCTAAGTGTTCTAATACTTACTATGACCTTTCGACCTTCGGTCTTCTTCCTTTCGACGAAAGCTGAAAATTATAGTAACGAGCCTACAGAGTCCAATGGACTTACCATGAATCTTGGAAAAAGTAACAAATAATATGATAAAATTAAACAGAGGATTGTGTAACATTTGGACGGTAGAGAACAGTTTTATTTTTTGCTTGCTGTTTTTGTTTTTTGTCTTTTTATCGGCGACGACGAATCTAGTTGTGGAAATATAATGTTCAACACAAATGAACAGAAGCGCCAACTCACTTTTTTTTTTCTTACCAAATATAAATGAGTTTTTCTTTAGATATGTGGATCCTATGCGCTGTAACGTGTGCTGACTATTTAGCACCAAACATACAACAGTTTATGATGAGCATGTTCACCACAAAAGAAAAAAAAAAAATCCTTGTTTCTGTGGTTTCCCAGCAATCTCTGGAGAGCAAGGAAGGAGAGCCCTGCTGAGAGAGATCGAGTTATTAAAACTCTTTGGAAGGATGGGCCATGAGAATGTTGTTAAGTTCATTGGCTGTGTTACAGTTGGAGGTAATCAGCTATTGTTATGATTGTAATCAGCTAAGTCACAGTAAGGATAAAAATATCAGTGAGGTGAACCGCTGTTAAAATCAATTGGTAGTG